CGAGTTTTCTGGGGCGGGAGAAGCGGGAGGGGTGGGGCCTCTTAGGGGGCGTGGGCTGGAGGAACCGCCTCTAAAAGGCGGGGCGGAGCCTTCCACGAGAGGGGCGAGGCGTCCAAGGGGCGGAGTCGGTGGGGTCAGCCCCGCCCCGCCCCGCCCGGCTCTGCCTTCTCTTTGCAGGATCTACTGGGGCTGTTTCTACTTTTTCCCCTGGCTGCGCATGTGGCGGAGGGAGCGGAGGTGAGGGGGCTGCGATACCGCGGACCCGCCCGGGGCATGGACGAGGCTCAGTCCGGGAGAACCGATCGCGGGGAAGCTGGGAGCCCCCGCCCCACCTCATGCCTGTGTCGGGTCGCCCCACAGCTCAGCGCACCCTCGGGAGCAGAAGCTGGAGCCTCTGCGGGGCCTGATGAGCTGTCTGTCAAGCGGACTGGGCACTGCTCCCCAGCGCTCCGGTCGCAGCCTCCCCCGCCGCACCCCCGCTGCCACTGCCCAGCCAGCTGGTGCATTAAAGATTTAAACCAAAGCCACCGTCCTGCCCTCCTGATTCTGCCGCCGCTACCGCCATTCGGGCTGGGAGCCCCTCTCCACGCCGGCTGTTTCCGTATTGACGGGGCCTCTCTCCCTGATAGGGTGTCCGTCCGTGTCCAGGCTCCCATTATTCCTAAGGGCCCCTCATCAGAGTCAGGCCTCCCCTTACTACCAGTGATTGCCTTCCACCACCTAAGCCCCCCGCCCCACCACACACACACTCATCTCTGTGAGTGGCCTGTATGGAGGGAGCTAAATAATCCTGGCTTTATCTTCCTCCCAGCCTTGTCCCCACATCCATAAATCCTCACAATCCCCGCTCTCTGCTTCCACCTTCCTCCTAGACAGGACTTTGCCAGGTGCCTGAAGAATCTTCTCCTGGGAGTGGATCTAAAATATTTTAAGCCCATAGTTGTAGGAAGTAGGCTGTGAGAGGAGGGAAAGATTCCTAGAAGCTGCTACCCTCAGCCTGCCATAGGGGAATGACTTAGAACTGTTGGAGGTCTTTCCTACAGTTAACACCCCAGCTTCTGGCTCCTCCAGTTGGATCCCAAGTTTAAAGATACTTGGCATCAGGGACTTCCCTGATGGTCCAGTGGATAAGATTCCATGCTCCCACTTCAGGGGGCATGGGTTCGATCCCTGGTTGGGGAATTAAGATCCCGCATGCCGCACAGCGCAGCCAAAAAAAAAAAAAACAAAGGTACATAGATACTTGGCATCAGCCCCCCGAAGTGTAACCTCCCTAGGAGAACCCAAGGGCCACTGCTCCCTACCTTTCCTTTCTGTCTTGTCACCGAGTTGGGCTGAAACCCACTAGCTCCTGAAGTGATGAAGGGTCAGGGACTCCTAGTGGGTCTGCTTTCAGTTAGGGACTGGCCCCAGCACCAGGGAGGGCACCACAGAATTAAGTTAAAGGGACAGCCCAGTTTGTGGGTGGGGTCAGAGCTAACTTCCAGCCTGGTGCTGACCCTGCCATAGCAGGTTGTAGCTGGGAAAAAGACTTGGCCCGGGCTTCCCTGGTGGCGCAGTGGTTGAGAGTCTACCTGCCGATGCAGGGGACACGGGTTCATGCCCCGGTCCAGGAAGATCCCACATGCCGCAGAGCGGCTGGGCCCATGAACCATGGCCACTGAGCCTGCATGTCCGGAGCCTGTGCTCCGTAACGGGAGAGGCCACAACAGTGAGAGGCCCGCGTACCGCAAAAAAAAAAAAAAAGAAGAGACTTGACCCTATCTTTGGAGAAGCCAAAGAGGAGAGATGGGTGCATACCTGGAAGAATTTGTTTCTTCCTTCCCAGGCCTCTGGATTGACTGGTCCAGGAAAGACTCCAAAGTGTGTGACAGCCAGCCAGCTGAAGATTTGTGACAAGATGATGGTGCCTCAGTGGGTGCACCCGAGCTCTGGGGTCCAAGTCCAGACTGGAGGGTGGGTGAGAGACCCTAAGGCCTCTGGTACTAGAAATTCAAGATGAGTGACCTCTGGGTTGTGGCCACCTTCAAGAATGGACCCAGGCTCTTGAGGCATTTTCTCACAATGTCTACATTGAGAACCCTGACGAGTACCCTGTCCAGCCCTGGGCCTACACCTCAGAATCCCTCAGGATACTCAAATTTCCTGAGTATCCATAAGACAAGCTCCAGGGAAGGAGCCCCCAGGCCTTACCCTGGACAGGAGCTGGAGAAGCTCGAGTCGTTCAGCCTGGGAGGGGCATTAGTCCCTACTATCCGAGCTTAGGGTTGCTCCTGATTGTTGCAGCCGCCCTGCAGCAGAAAGATGCCCAGGGAGGTATGAGTCCCCATCCCAAGAGTAGGCCTGCCCCATAGAGGGTAGCTGGTGACAGAGCAGAAGGTTGTAGAAGGTACCCCTGCAACAACCAGATAAGGGCCGTATTATTGGGTGATGATCAGTTTATGTTTAAAATATAGAGCAGGACAGGAGCGTTCAAATCTCCAGACCAGGAGTGGGAAATTCTTCAGGGTGCCAGGGGCACTAAACATAGCAGCTTGCCCCCACCCTAGGCTGTCCCCAGCTTCCTGGAAAGGACAGGAGAAGGAAGATGAGGAATAGTTTTGCATTGGGTGGGGAGGGGGGTGGCTAGGGGTAGAAGGGGTGAGGGCTGGATATGGGATTTAAAAAGAAGGGACAGGAAGGTAAAGGGAGGTCAGGGCTTTAGCAAGAGTATGGGATGCAGAGGGTGTAAGGGTTGGGGAGGGGGAGTTTCTTCCAGGCCCACAATAGAGAGAAACTGGCATTCGAATAGAACAAAGGAGAGGTAACTGAGCTCTTGAATCTGATGTCTCGATAAGCCAGGGGCTGGAAACCCCAGGCCCCTGCTGGTAAGAGGCTGGCATGTCTGGGACAGGACTAGGCAAAAACAGGAACGTAAGATTTCTTGGGTCTCTTACCTGTTGGACAGCAGCAACCTGGCACCAAAGAACTTTTATCTTCCCTCATCTGCCCTCCTTATCCACCCCATCATTCCTCCCTATCTCATCTTCCTGGGGAAAGCAACCCACACCTCAGTATCCCCAAGGCAACCCATTACCACCAAAAAGGGCCTTCTCCCAGCTTCTCAGTCTGAATGTGACTGGCCCAGGCAAGACTCCTCCTCAGTCAGAAGGGCCTGCTTTAGGGAGCCATTCCCATCAATTTTTCCTAATAAGACAAGCAGGCTAGTGCAGGAAGCGGGCAGGGGGAAATGAAGGCAAGTTGGTGCTGGCCTGCCATCTGCTCCCAGCCCACCCACAACTCCCCCATCAGAATTTGGGTGTGCTAGTGTGACTGTGTGGTTGGATGACTGTGAAAACACAACTGTGTGGGAGTGGAACTTTGAGTATAACTGGGACTATATGATTCCATCTGGGGTTGTCTGACCATGGGAGGTTGATCGAGTGACTGAGGTGTGACTGTGAATGTGTAACTATGAGTATGTGAGTGTTAATGTCCATCATTGGATGCCACTGTAGATCCTTGGCCACCCTTACTCAGTTACTGTACCATCAGTCCCCACATGCACAACCCCCCTCCCCAGCTTCTCTGCCCAGGATTTAGGAGCCCATGGGAAATTACTGTCCTAAAAGAGGAGGGGGGTCTGTGGCACAGGGGTCTCTGGTAATTAGGGCCCAGGAGTGTCACAGGATGAGCAATACATCTTCACCTGCTGCTGACTCAGCTGGTGCCCCAGGTAAAAGGCACCCAGATAAAAGGTAGGGAAGGAGGCAGAGAAAGAAGGAAGTATCCAGGCTGAGCATCATGAAGGGGCCCTCACCCACCAGCAGCCTCCTGCTGCTACTGTTGCTCCTAAGCCCAGACCCTGGAGGAGGTGAGTGTTTGGGGGTCTAGAAGGCCAGGGGTCTGGGTGAATGGGATGGAGGGAAAGGGGCCCAGGAAGCCCAGCCTCCAGCTATCTGATGGAGCTTAGGGTCAGAAGCCCTCTGAACACATGGTCCTGTTGTCCCCTAGCATTGCCACTGGCACCCAGCACTACATCATGCTGTTCTACCGACAGCCACTCTCAAGCAAACTACTGAGGAAGGTCATCCGAGTGGAATTTCAGAAAGCTGATAGGCCTTCGTGTGAGCTTTGATTCTGCCCCTGATTTGACCCCTGACTCTGACCTCAGTCCCAACCCCTGATGCTGATCTCAACCCGGCCCCAATTGCTAATTCTGATGCCAACTCAGGTTTTCATCTGGCCTTTGCCTCTAACCCCTGGGCATTACCCTCATCTCCAAGCTACGACCATGGCTTTGGACCTTTCCTTTCCCAGGTTTCACCTGTCTCGACGCAGCGTCTGCATCCACCCCCAGAACCGCAGCCTGACTCTGTGATTGGACTGCCAAGGGAAGCGGCTCCAGGGGACTCTGCCCAACTGAGTTTGGAGATGATAGGGAAAATGGGCCGGGGCCCCCAGTAGCCAAAATAATAAAGCAGCATTGCCCAATAGTCTCTGACTGTGGTCTCCAAGTTCTGTGTATTCTCCTGTGTGTCCCAAATCCGGAGCTGTGAGACATGTCAATAAACAGAAGAACCTCCTCATTCTCTTTATTCACACCTTCACAACCCCCGCCAGGGGCAAGGCCAAGAGCCAAGGACCCACACACACTCCTCAGGTACCTGTATACATACATGCAGAGAACACATGTTCCCTGCCTCACATACACTTGGACACACATGGACATAGACATACACATCTACACACATCCTCAGGTGGACTGCCAACTCTGAGATGAAGCCAGAGGTCTAGGCACCTTTCAGCTGGCAAGTTGGGAACACAGAGTCTCATAGAAATGAGCTCCAAACAGAATTTCCAGCTGAGAACCCCCCTCCATGGGGATCTACTGTCCTGCCTGGGTTCCACCTGTCTGTCCATCCACACCAGCAAGACAGAGTTATAGGTGGAATCAGCTGAAGCCTTCCAAGATCCTCTACAGGTTTGGGACTCCTAGAAGAAGGAGGAAAATCAAGGGAGATAGTAGGACTGGATCTTGTCCCAGATTCCCTGAGAATGAGGGAGGAGACCCAGCTCTGAGCCCAACACTCCAAAAATGAATAGGGGAGCCCACCTCTTTGTAAGCCCCAATACCCTGAAGATGAGGGAGTGGACCTAGCTCTGGGCCCAGGCACATCAAGAATAAGGCAGGGGATCCAGCTCTGATCCAGACATCCCAAGAATAAGGATGGATATCCAGCTCTGAGCCTAATACCCTGAAAATGAGGAGGGAATCCATCTAGGAGCCCCAGTATCCTGCAAGAGACAGAAGAGACCCAACTCTGAGCCCTGGACTCAAGAACGAAAGGCCCATCCCTGAGTCCAGAAGTTACAAGAATGAGGAGACCCAACTCTGATTCCCAAAACCCTTATGACTAAGGCACCTGGCTCATAATCCAGACACTCAAAATGAGGGCACACATCTCCAAGTCCAAACCTCCCAGAGGTCATACTCACCTGGAAGCTTGTCCACCGGAATCATCGGGGCCAAGAACCCAGACTTTTGAGGCCCATCCTTCTCACCTGGTCTCAACCTCAGCCTGGAGCACAAAAAGGAAGCTGTCTCCCTGACAATGTGAGGCATCTCAGTCTCTTCCAAAAAGGTTTGTTAGTAAAGGGTCAAGAGAGGAAAGGGTGAGAATCATGAAGTTGGGGGCGGGAGAAGGAGGAGGAATGGTTCCAGAATCAGACACGTTCAGTGCAAAGTCATGAGGGGTGGGAACGGGTGTGGTCTATGGGTATCAAGAGCCCCTGTGTGGGATCAGAGGATGAGAGGCCAATGGCAGTCACTTACCAGAGCCCCAGTGCCAGGGCCCCAGCCACCAGTCCCAGGAAAGAGAAGATTCCCAAAGATGCCAGCATAGCCACCTGCTCCAGGGCATCTCTGTGGTCTGAGGGAGAGGGTCACGTGCCAGCTGTGAGAGCAAGCCTGCCTGACCAAACTCGGTGCCCCCTTCTCTCTGGGGCTTTCCCATCCTCTACCACCTTTGCCCATCTGCCCAAGCTCACCAAGTGGCCGTGGGTCTGGTAGGAGGGACGGTCTTGGGGGAGCAGGGCTAACCGCCTGAGGTTCTTCCTCTGGCTGCGCGTGTTGCTGGCCCCCAGCTGGTATCTCCTTCGGTAGGGGCCCTGGAGGGAGACGAGACCTGAGGAGAACTATCCACGTGGGGTCGGAGCGGAGGCCAGGGCCCGCCAGGCGAGGCCAGGGCCAGGGTTGGACACAGGGTCGCCTCGGAGGCGGAGCTTGAAAGGGCAGAGCCAGCTTCTGGGGATGTAAGCAGGGGTGGAGGCTGAGGGGCGGAGGCTGAGGGGCGGGGTTTAATCTGGGGCAGGGTTTAAGCTAGGGCCGGGCTGCAGGCAGCTACAGGTGAAGCCTGGGGCCGCAACTGCCATGCCGCCCCGTAGCGCCTGCAGTTCCACCGATAGATGCTCAGCAGCGGGGCCTCTGCCCTTTCCCTAGGCTCTGTCTCTCACCGGTGCTCGGAGTACCCCAGGCCTCGGGGCTCCAGGCGCTCCAGGTGCCTGCGTCCAGAAAGTCCCGGGCGCTGACCCGCACGGCATGGGGCAGCCCAGCCACAGCGTCCGTGATCACCTCCTCCAATCCAGCCGGTTCCACCTGGCAGTGCAGATGGTTCATCGGCACATTATCCAGGTTATAAGCACTCAGCCTATCTGCCCCCCAGAGCCAGTCTGCAAAGAGCACCCCTTCCTCCCAGTCCTGTCCCTGTCAGCCTGATGCAGCCGTGTGGGCCTCACGTAGGGTGGCTAGTGGTGTCAGGTCTACACCTAGTGTTCAGAAGACAAAAGTGCACAGTGGTTTTGTAGACAGGCTGTGACTTCAGACTGCCTGTGTTCAAATCTTTGCTGTACCACTTACTGAGTGACCTTGGACCTCTCTCTGTGCCTCAGTTTCTTCATTTGTAAAATAGAGGTGAATACACCTAAACGAGATAATACATGTAAAATGTGTAGCACAGTGCCTGGCAGACAGATGGTATTCAATAAATATTGGTTATTGTCTGAGGCAGCGGCTCCCCAGGCCTGATGCTGGCCAATCTTTGCCATCTCCAGATGTGGGACTTCACCTCTATCCACATCTGAGTATATGAGTGTTTGTATGAGGCTGTGCCTCTGGCTGAAAGGCACTCCTTTTCCTAGAAAAGTTATTTTAAAAAAATCACTGCTGTCTTCCCACAGATGGGCTGAGATCAGTTACAGCCCTGCAGGGCACAGGCTCGGTCCCTCAGTCTCTGCTACAACCCAGCACCCAGCACAAGGCCTGGCCCATGGAGAGTACGCTGTAGGGGAAGCCACGGGGCGTCAGTGACCTGCCAGATCTGGTCACGCAGAACATGCAGGAACATGAAACTAGAGACAGGACCCACAGCCCCAGATTGGGACGCACTCCAAGGGCCTCACCATGGACCAGGCTGGATGCTGTGCTGGACGGTACTGCAGCCGGAACTTGAGCAGGAAGTGGGGCTGGCGGGGCCAGGAGGCAGGGTATGTCCAGCTGGCACGCAGGCGGCGAGGATAGCCAGGTACCGACTCTACCCGCAGCCCCTGGGGTGGGTCAGGGCGCACTGAGGGCAGTGGAGACACAAATTCAGGGCACAAGACAGGTACTCATCTCTTCCCCACCACCTCCCAAGGGAAGATGGGTGTGTGCCTAAAGGTCCTTGAGGGGAGGCACTTCCAAGGAGGTTGGGGAAATCTTAAGCTTGATCATCCATTAGGCACAGGACCTATCTGTCATCCCTATTATAAAGTAAGCTAAGATCTGAGGACGGATTTTTGAAATGTTTGTTGAGTGAGTTAAAGAATGATTCTGGGACTTCCCTGGTGGCGCAGTGGTTAAGAATCTGCCTGCCAGTGCAGGGGACACGGGTTCAAGCCCTGGTCTGGGAAGATCCCACATGCTGTGGAGCAACTAAGCCCGTGTGCCACAACTACTGAGCCTGCGCTCTAGAGCCCACGAGCCATAACTACTGAGCCCGCGTGCCACAACTACTGAAGCCTGCGCGCCTACAGCCCATGCTCCGCTACAAGAGAAGCCACCGCAATGAGAAGCCCATGCACCACAATGGAAGAGTAGCCCCCGCTCGCCACAACTAGAGAAAGCCCGCATGCAGCAACGAAGACCCAATGCAGCCAAAAATCAATAAATAAAATAAATAAATTTTTTTAAAAAAGAGTGATTCTGCTTTCCATCCAAGGAAGATGAGTTGGCCCAAATTCCAGCCAGAGCTTTGGTGACCCCCTTCCACACACAGATCAAGAGGAAGGAGAGGCCAGCAAGGGCTTCCACTGGGCAGGGAGGACATGAGATAGAACTGCCTTCGGCACAAGGCGTAGAAGCAGACAGGCAGCACTGGGGCTAGGCAGCCAGGAAGGACTAGTAGGGAAGCGGGTAGTGGCAGCAGTCTCTAGGAGCTGATGTAACCCTGCCTCCTGGGCTCTGATCTCCTTGGGTTCTTAGTCTCCATGGGGGCCATCTGTGTGCCGAAACGGGTCTATGTTGGGAGGGAACCATGTGGGAGCTCAGGGGAGGAGAGTTCTGAATTTGGGGGGTACCTGTACTCCGGGGTCCGTTTGGGCTCTCTGTGGTAGGGATTTGGGAAGAGCTCTAGGAGTGGGTACTCACAGATGCTCTGCAAGCTCACATCCAGCAGGCGTGTGCTGGCCCCCAGGGGGTTCACTTCAGTCACATTGATCCGGTACTGGCTCCAGAACTCTGCCCCATGGACTACACAGCGGGCAGCCCCTGGGGGGTCCTGTAGGCATGGCCAGGGCCCTGTGGATGGACTCATCCTAGGAGAGAGGATGTGGTCTTGAGCTTTGGAAATGCTCACTGTGGGACCCAGCTAGAGCCCCCAGCTTCCCCGTCATGTCCTACCTTTGGCCATCAGCTCCTGGTACCGTCTTCTTCCTGGCAGGGAGGAGGCCATCTGAGGTCAGGAAGGAAAGGAGGGTCCTCCTTCTCTCTCAGGCCTTCCTCAGGACCTCCTTACCTACCTCCCATACCCACGTTTTGCTAAACACCCAAACGTATAGGTATACACACCGACCATGCACACACCTGTAGGAGGTGAGGTAGCGGGTGGGTAAACCGCTAACCTGGCTGGGACTCCAAGTGCAGGAGAAGTTCTCATAGTCAGCTGCTCGGCAGGAGACAACAGGGCGGACTGGGGGGTCTAGAGGCAGAGGGTGCAGCTGGAGACTGAGAAGTCCCCAGCCCCTCCCCATCCCAGAGGGCTTACTCAGGGCCTGGATTCCCCCAGGAGCCCCATGTCTCATCATTGCTACCGCCAACACTCCCTCCCCAACTCACAGCCCAGCTGCAGTGTCACCATGCCCCCAAGTGCACCATCCAGGGTCCGGCAGATATAGGTGCCCTCGTCAGTGCTTTCTGCCCCGGCCAGGACCAGTTCGTGCCCTAGACCAGAGTCAGGTCCCTGGAGCAGCCTTGTCTCCCCGTCCCGAAACCAGGACACCGGGGCCCTGGGGGTGAGATGAGATGATGACAGACAGCGGGAAGATTTAAACTATGAGTCAGACCATGTCACAGCTCTCCATTGGCTTCTCACTGTGCTTGCAGTAAAGCTCAAACTCCTTTTGCTGGCTTACAAAGCCCCTGGTGATCTAGCCCTTGCCTTCCTTTCCTTCTCCATCACCTTCCTGTCTCCCCCTCCCCCACTGCACTCCAGTCAGGTTGTGCCTCTTTTGGTTCAAGAGTGTGGAGCTCACTCCCACCTCAGGGCTTTGCACTAGCTGTTCTCTCTGTCAGGAATGCTTGCTTATACCCCAGCCTTCAGAAACCAGCTTCAATGTCACCTCCGCCGAGAGGCCTTCCCTTATTACCAATAAAAAGTCGTCACTCAGTTACCCTCTTCCACCTCACTCTCTTTTGATTTTCTGCCCTGCAGGTATTACTACCTGGCATCTTGCCTGGCTTGTGCACTGCTGCATCCCAGGGCCTAGAATAGACCAGGCACTTAGCAGGTGCTCAATACATGTTGGTTGAATGTTCTGTTGAATAAGGATGGTTTGAGGGTTAAGACAGACAAAGAGGTGAGGATTACAGATACAAGGGGCAAGGATGGGAGGGGTGTGAGGACTGGGCAAGGTCAAGAAATGGGTCATGAAAGGGTCCTGTCAGCCCAGCAGGCTGGTGGAGCACTTACCCAGCAGTCACTCCAGGGCAACACAGCGTCATGGCCCTGCCAGGCTGCCCATACTGGACCCCTGTTGAAGGCACTTCTGAGCAGAGGCTCTTCCTTTCCCTCTCTCCCACCCCACCCCACACTTTGTAAGAGTGACAGGATAAGGGGTGGACTTTTAAGACCTGAGTGGGGTCATGGGGTCAAAACATCATGTTATAATCTGGAGACAGAGGTCAGAGAGCAGGGTAGAGAGATGTTGCCAGATTAGATGTCAGGGGTTGGGAGGATGACAGGTTAGGCATGAGAGGGGCCACGGTGATGGTGGCAAGTCACAGGTCAGAGTTGGGTCATAGAGCAGAGTTTTTCTCACCTGGGGGGCCCCAGGCCTGGGGGCAGGGACAGGAGGCAGACACCAGGGCTGTAGCCACGGCCACCAGGACCCTGCTCAGCCCTGAGCAGCTGCTGCTCATCTGTGGGGAGAGAGGCAAGGTCACCAATCCCCCATTCCCAAGATGAGAGGCTAAAGCCTGCCTCCTCCTCTTCCAGACTGGGGCTTTCTAGGAGGAAACCAGGTGCCCAGTGGGGTAAGGACCTCTGATGTAAGGTCCCCTTTCCACCATATGCCCAGCGCTGTGTGTGAGTGCATACACACGCACGCACACACACCCTCACACCCCCCTTCTCAGTCGTGGGCTTAGGGCCCAGAACAAAAGCTGGAGGCGACAGACTGTGCCAGCACCACCCCCCGCACCACCCTTGGCGCCCACCCCTGGCACCAAGTGTTGGCACCGGCTCAGTCACTCCCATTAACTCCTCCAATCCAGCTGTTGGGAATTCCGTGTCCATCCCACCTGGCCCGGGGATAGTCGTTGCCTCTGACTGACCTGAGGCAGCCCTCATCGCCCTGGGGTGGGACTGTCATGGTGGGTCTGAGCCCACCCTGTACCCCTGCCATGAGGCCTAGCCCTCCTCTGGCTGCCAAGCCTCTTCTCGCCTGGGCCTGGCTCCTTGCTCTGGGCCGCTCATCTGGGCCTGACTCTGGAATCTTGCTGGTCTTGAGCCTGCGAGGCCGGATGGGGCTAGGGTGCAGGCTGAGGCTGCGGAGTTAAGCAGATCCAGATGCCCTGACTGCTGCCAGAGGCTGGGGGCGGGAGAGGAGCCAGAAGATGGAGACAGGGTGGCGGGACGGGAGAGGAGGCTGAGAGAAGCTGGGAGGCTGCAGGAACAGGAGGCTGGGGTGGAGGCCACAGGACAAAGAGATGCTCAGAGATCAGGACTGGGAGGCAGTGAGAGCTCAATGAGGTGAGGGCTGGGCTGGGGCAGCAGGATCTCAGAGAGGCCAAAAAGGTAACCAACCATGTGTGTATGGGGAATGGAGGTGCTAGGAGAGAGGGAATCCTGGATGGGAGAAAGCAGGATGAGGAACGCAGTGGGGAAGAGGGAAGGGGGGTGGGAGAAGGCGCAGATGGGCAAAGGGCCCTGGGCAAGGGCTCCAGAAGAGGGAGAGCCCAAATCCCTCCCAGGTAGAGCTGAGCAGCAACCTCCGCGTGTCTGCGCGTCTGTCTGAGTGTGTCTAGTGGCTCACCCCGGGCCCCCCGGCCGCATTTACCCTGCTCAGCCCTGCCCTACCTCGATGATTCCAGTGGTTGAGTGACCATGGCCTCCAGGACTTCCTCCCACCAGCTACAGCACCCGTCTCAGCTCTACTCAGTTCTGGGACCCCAGAATCATCCCCTCCTTCCCCTTCCCTGCCCCCGCCCCTCTGGGCCATGGAGCTCAGCCGCCCCTAGCCAGGCCCCCTCCTCTCTCGTTTCTCCTCCCTCCTGCTCTCCCACCCCCTCCCACCCAAGGCCCTGGGAAGGGAAGAGGCCTCCCCCGAGTCTGGAAAGGAAGCCACAGGCACAGCCAGGCACAGCCAGGCACAGCAAGAGGGAAAGGAGAGCTGCTGTGTCCCTGTCAGCAAGAGGTTCCTGTGTTTTCACACAGCAGAACACAGGCACATTCACGCGTGGACTCCCCAGGCACAGTCAACAAAGACACTCCCTTGAACACACGCGGACACAGTCAAATCAAAAAGCAGACACATACTCGTGCTCCCACTCTTTTCACTCCCCAGCAAATATTTCCTTAGGGCACAGCTGTCTGTGTTTTAAGGGGAAGAGGGCCCCATGTTGGGGGATATAAAGAAAAGCCAAAGAGTCCAGTTTCCCCCTCCCCTGGACGTTCCAGCCATTTCTCACCTCCCCCTCTACTCTTGAGGCCCCAGCACCAGGAAATGCCTTTGGTCCCTTGGTACCAGATACACAAGACCCACACTTACCCTCAGACACACACTCTCAGACACAGCCACTCACAGTTACACCGATACACTCAGACATCCTCACCCAGACTCAGACACTTAAACATTTACACATACCCAGACACACACACAGACACACATCTCCCTCTTCCTTGCACAGCCAGACACACACACTTAGCACTCCGCCCTGGGATGGGGAGTCACAGCACTCTCTAAAAGCAACTCGTCATAGTGTAAGCCCCCTCTTCCAGGGAGCTCTTAGCACGGCAGATCCCCCATCTCATCACCATTTCAGGCCCCCAGATAGCCAAAGAGACAAAGGTGAACAGGGGAGTCAGGCACAGGGGCACAGAGAGAGACAGAGATGCAGAGAACATGAGAGGCAGGACTAAAAAGCAGATACACTGAGATACCTGGGAAGATGAAAGTGTGAAGACACACAGAGCACTAGCTCTAGGAAGACAGTAGTAGAGAGAGAAAAAGAAATATAAGGAAACTGAGTCAGACAGGGAGACAGAAAATAAGGAGCAGTGGACCAGTGACAAGGATTCTCAAGCACTAAAAGAAGGAGGGAGGGCCAAGTGTGCTGGGGATGGTCTGCTTACCCTGGCCACTAAGTAGAAAGGTCAGTCCCATTGGCTACTGAAGTGGGTCCCCAAAATGCAAACCCAGCTCCACTCCTCCACAGTCTAACAGGACACAGGACACACGCCGAGTGCAAGTCTCATTCTTCCTCTGCCATATGCTGAAGTCCCACACTGGCACACGCAAACCTAGCCATCTGCTCTCACACTGTCAGACACAGTCTCAAACTCCGCAGAGACCTTCCCAAAACACATTCCCTGATGTGGTCACAGGCCCTCTCACACACACACAAACGCACGACCCGGTCTCTGCCCGCAAACTGCACACTGACACACACACATAATCCCACACAGGCACAGCAACATGCAGACTCAGCCTCAGCACTGCGACACCCGCAGTCACACTAGCTGACAGTTTCACCAAGCGACACTTGCGAAGTTTCGCACACTGACAGCGTCACACACAGCCTTGCAGTCTCTCTCTCTCTCTCTCTCTCTCTCTCTCTCACACACACACACACACACACATATACACACACACGCACGCACGCACTGACAGTCCGTCAGTCACTCCGGGCCCTTCAAATCCCACACCCCCAGGCCCCGCCCTCTCCTGGCAAGGCTCCCTCGAGTTCACCCGCGGCCCCATCAGGCCTCACCTTCCGCGGCCGCCGCCGCCAGCGCCCTCCGTCCTCGCCCTCTGCCCCGGCCTCCACTCCCTGCCGCCCTGGGGCCCCGCCGTGGGGCGGCTCCGCCCAGGCGCCAATGGAAGGAGAGGGGTGAAATGGGGGGGCTCGACCCATTGGAGCCTTCAACTGCCAATCACCCCCACACCCACCTCTGCCGGACACTTCCTGTCCCGTCCGGGACTGAGGAGGCTGCCAGAGACCGAGCCTGGAGCCGGGTTCCTGGGTTCTGGCCTGAAAGCGTCTCCCCGCGGCCGCCGCCGCCAGCGCCCTCCGTCCTCGCCCTCTGCCCCGGCCTCCACTCCCTGCCGCCCTGGGGCCCCGCCGTGGGGCGGCTCCGCCCAGGCGCCAATGGAAGGAGAGGGGTGAAATGGGGGGGCTCGACCCATTGGAGCCTTCAACTGCCAATCACCCCCACACCCACCTCTGCCGGACACTTCCTGTCCCGTCCGGGACTGAGGAGGCTGCCAGAGACCGAGCCTGGAGCCGGGTTCCTGGGTTCTGGCCTGAAAGCGTCTCCTCCTGGGACAGCAGGACCAGAGCTCTCAGGCCCCGCCCCGTCCACCCCCCAGCTGTCCTCAAACATAGCCTCAAGTTCAGTGGCTTAGGAGCTACTGGGCAGGTGACCAGAGAAGCTGAAGGTGCCCCTGACTCCAGATAAGGAAGGAGGTGGACTGGTTGTAAGGCAGTGGGTCTCAAACGTCGCTGGACACTGTGGTTTTAAAACTGTCAAGCCACACTCCAAGTAAATCAGTACTGTTTAAAACTCCCCAGATGATTCCAAAATGCAGGCAAATAAAAGGTGTAGGATCAGGTGTGTGTGGTGTGTGTGTATGTGTGTGTGTAGCTATGTATGTCACCCATCCAGGGTTCCACCCCCCAGCCAATGGGGGCTCAAGGGAAATGTGTACCACATTTGTCTGAGCTTCTTCCAAACCAGGGTAACACTCCAAGTTGACCCTTCCCCTCCAGGGTCCCTAGGAAGAGAGAATCCTGGACCGGAAGGCAGGCAGCCAAGGTTCTCCTGGGTCAGATCATCACTGTCCAGTCTTGTGTGATTTCCCCTCCCAGAGACTCAATTCCCTTGAGAAGAATGGAGACAAAAAGTGTTCTGGCCATTCCCGCATTACTCACAAGCTCCTGTCCTCACCTAAAAGTTTGGAGGACCCTAGGTGGCATCATGTCTCCTGGGTTGTATGACTTGTTATTCCCACAGTTACAGTCTTACCAGGGAAACAGCTCCAGAGGGAAGGGGGTAGACCCAGGATCACTCCAAAAACCATCCCCTCCTACCATGGCCCTGAGGCTCCTAACTCTGGCACCCCTTCCCTGCCAGAGCTGTCTTCTGCGCTGTGCAATGATTGGGGCACAGGGGCAACAGAGGTGTACAGAGCCCGTGCATACATGCTGCACGTGGGAGTCTGGAAAGGCCAAGGACACAAAGCCACGTACACGTTCCCTACCCGCCCCTTCAGCCTCTGTGGGCTGGAGCAGAGCCAAGCTGCAGCCACTCACAAGGCCAGGGTTCTGGCCAGGAGCCTAGGGTCTAGCCACTGACCAATGGGACAAGGATCCTGCTCACCCACTCCGACCAAACCTTCAGTCCCAAGCTTGGTGAGCTGACACCCTAGGGATGGTAGTAAAGGGGGCTCTGGCCTTCCCAAAGCCTCAGCCAAAGACAAGAACAAAAGATTCTAAAACCATTTTAAACTGGGATGCCTTTGTTACTCTAGGAGTAAAAGCCAGACATGACACTGAGCATTAATTTTGTTCAGAGATTTGGGGCAAAGAGGTGGGGAGGTTGTGCCCTTAAGTTTTTGCACATCTGTTGGCAAAGAAAAGTTGTGGCTGGAGCTATGCCTTCGGCCTTTAACCCCAGACCCCCAAGGATCAGAGTTCACACTCCTCTGGTGTTAGAATATGTGATTAAAGTTTGAGAAGCACAGTTTTATTGATCCCACATCTGCCCAAACCCTAGGCCCTAGTTCCCTCAGGCAGAAGGCCCTGTGGTCAGTGTGGTCAGGCGATGGCTGCTGTCTCCCTGTCCTGCCCCAGGCGGTAATGAACCTCAGGAAGCGCCCTTAGTCTCTCTGCAGCCTGGAATGGGGAAAGGGGATAATCAGAGAGGGTAAGGGCTGCCCAGAATGGTGAGTGCTAGGAGACGCTAGACACTGGGGGAGAGCATGCAGGGTGGGGAGGCTGGTGAGAACGACCACTGGAATAGCCAGAGAATGGAGTCAGCTCCTGAGTCCCTAGGAATACCCAGGTCGTGGGGATTCTCAGGGTCATGATTGTTGGGATCCCTTGAGGGAACAGGAGGGAAAAGGGGACCCAAGGACTCAGGGTGTTCCAAGTCCAGACCTGCTCAGGGGTGAGGTCCCTCTGGGCCTGGGCAAGCATTTCATAGCCAACCATGAATTTCCGGACTGTGGCAGAGCGCAGGAGTGGAGGATAATAATGAGCATGTAGCTGCCAGTGGTCCCAGTTGGCTCCAGCCTCTGATCCCATGGGAGCCCCTGGTGGCAAGAAGGCAGAGATAGTTGGGAAGGGTCCTTTCTTAGTTCTTCAGCCTAGCTCTTACCCCCAGACCATAGCAGGTACCTGAAAACTACATCTTCCAGCATTCCCTGCCAGAGAGGAGACAAGGCATTGGAAAGCCCACTGGGAGACATAGTTTCACCACGTTCACTTCTCCACTCAGTCCCAGCATCCCTGCTCTGAACACTTCCCCAGCAAGTGTTCCAAGGCCTGCTGGGAGTTGCAGTCCACTAAGCTGGGACCCAGGAGCCCAGAAATGGTGTTGGGGTTAGATATGGGTACTCAAAAAGCCTCACCATGCCAGCCCATGGAGTAGGGAAAGGATGTCTCAAATAGGTTGTCATACTTGGTCAAGAGCTTCTTCATGATGGAGGCTAGATCTGGAATCAGAGCCTGACTCTCAGTCTGGGGCCCAGATGCTGGCCCCACCAGAACCATCCCCATCCAAAGCCTGGCCCCAGGGTCCCACCTGGGAGACTCACCGTCACGCTCAGCCGGCGTCAGCTCAGGCAGCCGCCGTACATGCCGACGGGGCAGCAGTAGTGTCTGGAAGGGCCACACTGCCCAGAAGGGGACCAGCACTAACCAG